TTTGAAAGTGTCAGATAATACATGACAGCCCAGTCATGATGTTTGGAGGGCCAAGAGCCCCTGCAGAGCCCTGACCATCCTTGTCTCCCTGGGTGAGCACGTTCTGCTGCGTGCACCTTCCTGCGCAGCCTGCGTGGGGACCTTATAAGTAAGGGTGACAGGATTTAAAATTACTTAGGAGTGAAAGGATTTAAGATTAAAAAACTTTTTCAAGAGCAAGTCAAGGTGCCAGCACGTTCAAATGCTGTCAGATACGCCAGGGCAGGTACTTCCTGAAGGATGTGCTTTGTGTCTTTGAGGTGACAAACCTACTGCAGTAAATTAACATACGTGCACTTGCTGCTGCCTTTTCCAAAGCCCTTCCACCAACTGATCGCCTTTAGCTCGGTTGTTGTTGGTCACGCCATGAGCGACCAGAAAAGTAAGAATTATTTCCTCTTGCTAGAAATGCTTTTGACTGCTTGCAACAACCCTATAGATTTGTGGAGATGGCAGTGGGTGTATTTTATAGCATTGTTGGGTTTGACATTTTTCATGTTAAGTAGTCTCTGCTGAAAGGATTTGTGTGGCTTCTCTATTGTTGTAGGTCATTTTCGACATAGACTAGAAAGTTCTTTTAAGTATTTAAATAGGAAATAATATTCCCATTTTACAGATGGGAAACTGTGGATTTCCCATAGATACATAAAAAGTCAGTAGTAGTGCAAGGAGCTGAATATCAGAGAGATGTCCTAACCACTGAACTATCCTTTTCTCCCCTGAGCGTCACAAAATACACCGAGTAATATCTTTTTGAAAGGCTGATATTAGGTTAATGGTGAATCTTACAAAAGGCAGTAGGAGACATTAAGTTTGATGTGGCAGAAGGGCACTTACCTAACGAAGTAGTACTTAAATGAGAAGGATACTTACTTAAGAACTGATACAATTATTGTTCCTTATCCAGTGGAGTACTTTATCAGAAGTTTATCAGTAGTTCTGGGTAAGGAAAAGAAATGTTTCTCACAAGTATGAAGTCCCATCAGAAAAACATAAAGGGAGCCATGTATCACAAGAATCTTAAAAATACAAAACAATGTCGTATACGTGAAATAAATTCCCAAAAGAGAGTAATAAAGGCTGGAAGAAGGAATCCTGAAAGCCAAGAGATTTTTCTGTATTTTTAATTAGAGTAATTATACTAAAACTGTCTGCAAATATTTTCACAGTAGCAAGAAACACCCACAAAACCCAACCTGCCAAAGTACCCCTCTGAGCACAACAATTGTGAAGGTTAAAGGCTTGAGTTGGCTATTAGGAGAGTGCTTCTCTTCTCCTAAGGTCTCTCCTTAAGTGTAGAGCAGTAATTTTGATTCTCTTCACAGTTCAAAGTCAAAGCTTCCCTTGATTTCAACAGTGCTGCATTTGGCAAAGTAAAGTACTAACATAATTGTATTTGGTCCCAGTCTTGTCTTGTTTGAATGTTAAGTGTCTCTTGAAAACAAGCCTGTTATGGTCTCTTTATAGGCTATGTGGGCTGACAAGCTATAGGCTGTGTATTGGGCTGCGTATTAGCGAGTAGCGTGGCTCCACTGGAGCAATGTCTCAAGGGAAACAGATGGTGCCAGCGTCCCCACTGTATGTGTTGTGGCAGTTTTATTTCAGACCAGCTCTAGTCCAGTCCCCTGGTGCCATGGCCTGAAATTATCCTTTATTGTTTGTAGCACGTGAGGAGCTCTTGCAACACATCTTCAGGTATAGTTTCATCCAAAAAGGATGCAGTACATGTAGTCACAGACTGCGTCGCAGTGTGAGCAGCACATAAACATGGCTGGAAACAGAGGTGACTATCCAACGAATTGCATTGCGCATCGTCCCATGTGTAAACTCTGCTGCTGTAGCCTCCTCATTGCTCCCCTGTCCCTCTCAGGTCATCGTGGCCCAGGTCACCACTGCACCATGAATATTTCTCTGCATCGGGCATATTTCTCCACACCGCACTGAGGGCTTTCCCCTTCAGTTAAGGATCCTTAGTGGGATAGAAATAATCTATCTAGCACTTGCAAAGCATATAAAAATGATTGCACCACATTAGATCAAAGACTGCGTAGTCCTGGGTCCTCTCTGCAACAGTAGCCAGCAGTGAGGGCTTGGGGAGCATTATAAGAACAAGGCAAGCATGCTGTGGTACTTCCTCAGAATACTTTCCTAGCTTCCAAAAAATACACAAATCAAGGACTTCCTAAGCCAGAGGCTGGTCTTTTTATTTAATACTCTTTGATGCCTTTTTGCTTTTGTGAATCATTCTAACTACTTTTTGGATTTATGTTAATTTTAGCATCTGCGGTGTCCTGCAGGAAGAAGTTCTAGAGTTTCACTGCATACTGTACACTTCAGATTTATTAAAAGACTGAACATGTCCCTACGAGGGGTTCAGATGCCCCCAAGGTGACTCTGCTCACGTTAATCCCAGAAACAGGATTAGCTAGGGAGTGTAGCGCAGAGACACTATGCCCGAGTTAGAAGTGTCAGTAGGTACAGTGTGTGCGCAAATACGCCCAGACTGGGGCTCGACTGCTCTATGTGAATTTACATTGAAGTGCATAGGGAACCCTTCCCTTCCCCAGGATTAGCTTGCAGAATCCTTGTGTTCCAGCTTGGGATTTTATTTGATTGTATTTGTGATTCCACTTGCTTTTTTAAGTAAACAGCGATATGGAAACATTTGGCCAGAGGGCAAACCTCAGTTGCTGAAGAGGAAGAGAACGCAATATCCAAATGACTCATGCGTTTGTGGGTGAAGTAGTAGCTACATGTCATAGCTTGGGATGTGGGTTTGTGGTCCAGCGCCACATGGGCTCAATGCATTTAGGTTGTTAGGTAAATATAAATGGTTTTGGCAGCAAGTCTCCTGAGACTTCCCAGAACCACTTTTCTCGTTAAGATTTCACAGACTGTGCGGTGACAATTAATAAGCTAGGGCACTCGACAGATGTGAAGCTGCACCGAGGGAGGTGGGACAGAGGGCCCTCCACGGACACTGCTGGGTGCAGGTATGCCAAAGCCCTTCTGCTGCCAGAAGCAGTCCCACAGGTGAGGAGAAGCTGACTGTGACAGGACAGTGACAGGACTGGAGAATTTCTGAGGACTGGAAGAAAGCATGGAGCAGGACAGCAGGAACAAGTGAGCCCTGGGAGGTACCTAATACCTGTGAAGCTCTGCTCTCCTGGCTGAGGTTATCAGAAGACCTGCTGGATCAATGGATTCTGATGTCTGATACACTATCCCTCTGCTTGGTGCCCTGTGTTCATGCTGACTTGTGTTGGCTATGGGTGTCCTCAGGTTACTGACTGTCTCGTTCTTGTTTTCTGCTGAATCACTTGATGATGCTGAGGCACAGTATGTAAATGTCAATGCAAGTGTAAGTAAAGAGGTCAGTGGCACCTCCATACCCCTCCATTGCTACCTTACTCACCGCTAATCGGTTGTACCTGCTGGGATTCGACTGTGAAGCCCTTTATAGGAAGTTATCAGCAGTAACTCACTGTCTTATACATGAACAGCTTGCAGATACTACAAAATATGGATTGTTTTGCCTGGATTCTCTTTTTCCTCTCAGTCTCTGGTCTATATTTTCCTCAACTCTTTCAAACTTTTCCATCTTTTTTTTTCTCTGATCACTCTGCTGCAGCTCTGTAGCTGAAGACCTCAGTGACACCCACAGTGTGTTATCTGCTGGGGGAGAGGCGTGCTGTGCTGTGCCATGCCGTGCCCTGCCGTGCTGCAGGCGAGGGCGGCTGGTTCCCCGAGAAGCCCTTCCCTCCCTGCCCAGCCAAGCTGAATGTGAACAGGGGTTTCACTCCGCAGATCAGTGGAGGGAGGAATTAGGGAGCCTGTTCCCCCTGCCACCTCTGACTGAAATCCTCCTACAAGCAGGAGCTGTTTGGGGGCATTTTCTGCTGCATCCTGCCACTGCTTCCTGCAGCGGAAAGCTCACAGAAAAGGGTTTACAGCCTGGGAGATAACAGCAGGGCATAGCCTGAACCCAGATATTGGCAGATCAGTTTGCTTTCAGAAACAAGCCAGCCTTTTCCATTTTTCTGGGACAGTCTGGTTTACCCATTAGATCAGAATTTGCAGGGTTAGTTGATGGTAAACACAGAAAAACAGAGGTTATGCATTTCTAATTTGAACAATCAGCTGTTTACCCAGGTCTCGGTGCCTTGCTGGAACAGCAGAAGAGCTTCTTTATCACTACAGCAGTGCCTAGAGTCAGGGTTGGTCCCAAACCTGATGAATCTTCCTTATTAAGCAGTTCACAGGCTGGGGCTGCTGCTTAGGAAATGGCGGTATCCTCCCTGCAGGCAGATCAATACATTTTGGCTGGCTGCACTGCAAGAAACTTTTCATCATACATTAAGAATGAGGAAAATAAAAGCCAAGATGGATGTTATTTTGCTTTTGCTTTTATTTTGAATTATTTATTGGGAAGTCACTGTTGTCTTCCTTCTTGTCAGGAGACAAAATGTCTTTGTCTGGTTGTATTCCTGATTAAAAAGAAACAAGGTCTTCACAGTTTTATTTCTCTCACCCACTTGCTACCTGGTACTGAAATGTGTAAATTTAGTGTTTGCACAACTTTATGAGATTCACTCCTGCCGCCTCAACAGAGGCAAAGTCCCCACTGATGCCGCTGGGAATCACACTTCCTTGGCACGTTTCTAACCAGTTCTCTAACAGGCATGGAAAGTATATCGCAGATGAGTTATACGTGTTGTAAGTGATTGCTGGCACATAAGTAGAGGGTGTTATGGATGGTTATAAGAAGTCTACAAGCTAGCTGAACCATCACTTTAATTAAGCACTTAATAAATATCTAGAAAAAATTATGACTCCTGTTTTGAGGGAATTTGTAATACCAAATGTTATGGGGCAAAAATTCTGCGATTGGCGCCACTATTAATATCAACTTGAAAACTCAAACTAACAATCTGCTGTGACATTTGTCTTCCTAATTCTAGGTTATCCTGAAGGGGAGGATAAAAAAACTGGCCACCAAGATGGTAATCACTAGTGGAAATGATGAAGATAAAGGCAATCAAGAAAAGGAAAGCAAAGAAGAAACCATTCTGGCAATGCTTGGAATTATTGGGACAATTCTGAATCTCATTGTGATCATTTTTGTATATATTTACACAACATTGTGAACTAGAAGGCATGCAAATAGGACAGATAAAATGGCCATTAAGGGTGACAACAAACATTGCTGACTATTGACAAGTTGTTTAATCAAAATTGACTCTGTATTATATTAACACATCATAAAAGCACTGCCTGCAGGCAGCAAAGGCTGAAGCACAATTAATTTAACAAGACTTTTGCACATAGTAACAAGCTGAACTCCTCTGTCCTGCCCTCTTCCTTTTGGTTTGGTCCTTGGTTTGAGGGGAAATGACTACAATTATGTAAGGAGTAGCTTTGAAGAAATCCACGAGGGATATGTTGTTTTAACACAGTAAACAAAAAATACACTATATACAATTAGAAATATATACCTTCTGTCTGCAAAGATCTAACTCAAAGATAGCTGCATATCAGAGATTATGTGTCTGTTAGGTCAAATTATTTTTTTTCTCTTGGTTTTTGGTTTTACTTGCATTGAATCTGACAAGCTTTTTATTTAGAATGAACATATGGTGCCGTCATGAAAAAACAATTAAATTGAGCAAGACTAAACTGATAAAACATAGGGAGAAATACATTACATGGTTATTTTTCCTTTCTCATTTGCTTAACGTCTGCGTCTGTTAATACCAATGTTTATAAAAATATATTTTTAATAAATGTGCTATATTTTTAGCATGAACCAAATATTCAGAGACACTTGTATTCATGCAGCTAGATTTTGTTTGATGAAGTGCCCTTTTTGACAATGGATGTTATTCTTCTCAGCAATTATATAGCAGTCTTGTTTGCAGCCCTCTCATTGTAGTCTGAAGCGAGCTCACATGCTCATATGCATGACTTGAAGTTGGACTGTCAGCTGAAAAGCATTGCTGTTTAATATGGGAAATAGGAAAGCACTGTAAGGTGACCTTTGGAGACTGGTTGCAGAAAGAAGGCTCTATTTATAGAAAGAAAAAGCCAATGAAAGGGATATTGAGGCATCTTGCAAAAAACTACAAAATTCACAGAATTTATGACTTTCAGAATCTGGTCACACTCTCTAAGTACTTCTAGTTAGAGAAGCGAGCAAAGGTTTATGCAGCTGCACAGAGAGATGTATAAGACCCTGTGGTGAGGCGCTTAAGAGAAAGCCAGACTGTAAATACAGAGCACACTTTAACTGTGAAGATAGTTAACCATTTACATTTCTTGGACATGTGCTTTAACTGAGCGGGGTGCAGTGAAATTCTTGGACTTGTGTTTTTATCAGGAATGTACAACGGATGATCACCATTTTTCTTCAGCGTTTAATACTTATGAATATATGATGTATTAAAAATATGAGACTTCGATTCTGCCTCAAGGTGCCTAATTATGTTTCCCATTAACTCTGAAAGATCTTCTTAATAAAGGGGCTCAATTAATTGTTTACTGACTTATAGCTTGAATTGTGTCCCCAGATGCACGATGTGGACTGCCACTGAAGTCAGCTGGAGCGGTAAGAAGATTGATCCAGGTCTGTTCCTGGAGTCTTAGTGATTTCAGTGATCAATCCTGTACCTCTGGAATCAGTAATGAACCTTTCACTGCTTTCTTGAGGCTAGGTCTGGTCTCAAAAATATAGAATTGCACTGTAGGATGTAAAAGCAAGCCTGAAAAACCCTCAGGAACACCTCTCATGAAGGAGGTGTTTAGTCTCCTGCTGTATCACACACTCAATACCAAAACTACTAGGAGAAAGGAAAAGGTCAATGAATAAATTAAAACGAAATTCAATATGACGACTGAAAAAAAAGAGCAAAAATAATCTCATGATAATGAAAACATGACAGGATAATAGATCCTTGGAAAAGCGAGCTGAGAAAATGAGAAGAGATTTGACAAGAAGCGAACAACACAGAAAGAGGGTGCCGAGCGCGCCAGAGTGTTTGAGGAAACATTCGTTAATGTTTGCCTGTAGAGCTGCAGGTCTGGGGGAGAGTGAGAAACATTAGTAACAGCTCAGTGGAGCTGAATGAGGCTGATCTTGCCTTTTTTGGGGGAGGGGGGGGTAATTTTAGAGAATTGGGAAACTTTTCTTCTTGCTCACTGTGAGTGAAAAAGAAATGAGTAAAATGTATTTGCCCCCACCCTGTAGTTTTTCTTCTGGCGAAACTACGGCTGATTTCAGCATACGGCCACGGCATTGGCACTGATGTCCCAAAGCACACCTGTAAATACTCCAGACATCTGGGTAATCCCAGCCTGCCCTCTCGTGCTGGCATGAGCATCTCGGCATATGTTTCTCTTGGACCTCTCCCCCTCCTTCTGCAGCAAACGCATCAAGAAATCTGTCTGAGGCTCGATGCCTCTTCTAGAGAGGAAACTTGGCACAGCGAAGAGTTGCAATCAAGAGACAAGCTCTGATGCCTGCTCCTTCTTTTTCCCTCTCGGCATCAGATGATAATACTTGTCTTCTTGTGGGTATGAAGATGCTTAATGAATGAATGTTCATTGAGTACTTTTATTAATATTGCAGATTAAATCTCTATGTTGTAAAGCAACACATAAGCCCCTCCGCCGCTCCCTGAGGACATTAGTGACTGTTGGTGTTCATCGTGCTGGTGCTGCTTCAGGCACTGGGTCCGCATCTCAACCCCAGGATAGCTCAAACATGCCTAAGCCTGACCGATGGGTTTGAAAACCCCAAGGAAACTTTGTTTACCCTTCCTTTCCCAAAAGAAGGTCAGCTGGGAGAATAATTGTCCCCTTTTGAGTGTGCTGTATTGAGTAAAGGATCCTGTTTGCTTCAGCAAATGCAGGGCGACCAGGTGCCTCACCACACTACGCGCTCAGCTCGGCAGCCGCGTGCTGTACGGCTTGCCACACTGCTGTTATTACTCTTTGAAATAGGAGGAAAGCTTAAACCCATTCCATAAAAAGTTTAACACTTAATATTTTAATTTTATGGGTTTCTGTGCACAGATAGTTCTAGAAATATCCTGGGGCAAGTACTGCTTAAGAGGATTCATTAAGTATTCATTTAAATAAAAAGGAAGAGTTTCCTTTGAGGGCAATTTCTTTACCTTTTATTTGGTATTCATGAACACTGATATGGGAAAAGTATGTTTTCAAGAATGACTGTGGAAGGGAAATGTTTTATAGAAGAATCTGAAAGTATGTCTACTCAGGCAGATGCACACAGGCTTGTTTGCTGCTGAATGTCAGCAGGAGCCAAATTATCCTAGTGTCTTTTTATATGAGCAGTTGTCAGCATGCACTTATATGAAACATGCAACTAGGTAACGTATAAACCAAGGGTACCTTATAGTCAGTAACTGCAGTACAAATAGATGCCTAAAACTTCTCATTGCAGGTGATGAATGTTAAATCTGCTTTGGCAAGGCAAAAGGTAATAGTCTCATTTCTGGTTTGACTTGCAGGTGATGCAAATGTTTTCCCAAGTATTTTTTTGTATAAACTCTTACTACGTCAGTGACAGGAACCTTCATGTTTGCATGTAACTGAGTAGAAGAAAATGAATATCCGGTATCTTAATAGGATATGAAAATCAACTCCTTTTGCTTCTGTAGGCTAAAGGATACCGTTGTATTCTTAAATTATCTGATATAGTCTGACAGTTTGTGTTGTGGGAGTGAAAAATAGTTTCCTGAAAGTTTTTATATGCCCAAGAGGTGCCATTCTCCCTGCTCGTGTCTGCTGTGTTGCCAGCATGGTATGGTGGGTGCAGAAGACTTCCATAGAAGAAGAGAAAACTATTTTAAGTCCGTTGTACACACAACAAAGGAGAAGGCAGAAAGAAAGGTATCATCTCTGGTTCCTATAACTACCACTGAAAATTCATCCACTCAGGATTCATGTGTTCATACGGGAATATAGCTTCTTGTGTACAGTTGGACAGTGCAGTCATTCTGTAACATACTGTTTGCTCCGTCGTCTCGCACCCGTGCACCAATGCTTGGCCCGTTGCAGCTGGGAATGGATTTTATGAGTGCTCTGGTTGGGAACCACTTTGGGATTCTGCAGACAGGAAGCTGCTGTTTTGGTTTATTGTGGTGTAAAATTCTAGTATGGGTCAGAGTTACATTATTTTATGGATAGTTAGTAATTGTCTTCATGATATTGTCTGATAATCTAAAGGATGACCAGATGGTTTAATTCCCTTGCCCCCTCTCACTCGTCCCCCCCAAGTAAAATTTTAATTCAGCAGATATCCAAATACTGAAAAAGCTTTGGCCAAATTCTGATAAAACTTTAGTATGGAAATGTTGCTACTATACCTCATGGGAAGTGAAGTCCAAGTGTCTTATCCTTCCATCTAATCTATATCCTGGAGCTCACCCCAAATGCTTCAATGTCTCATCCAATAAGAAAGTCTCATATTTTTGAGTGAGAAGTTGGTGTTTTGGAGTGCATTGTGGCATATGCAAGGAACCTGGCCCATAGAGGGGAATGTGGATTAAAAAGTAACTGGACTAAAACTCCAGGGAAGCAGCACTGCAGAATTTTCTAATTAAGCATTTTGGGATTTGGCTGAAGTGCTTTGGTTCTGGCTATGCAGTTTTTGGAGAAAAAATATTATTGTTCCTTGGGAAGTTTCTGCAAGAAATATGTCTAAACAAAAGAAAGACTCTCACTGAAAAAGTTTCAGAACCAATTTCCAGCAGCAACCTCCCGAAGAAAACACTGACCAGGCCTCCAAGCAACCCTGGCTGGCTTTCTGAGAGTACTTTCTGACAGCCCACGAGCGCACTGCACATACATGTAAGCATCTCTTGTGTACTCTCAGAGAACTTTCCTGCTTTGGAGGAGAACGACACAGATTCAAAAAGATTTACAAAGATTTAAGGAACAGTACCTTATTCATTCAGCAAAGAAAATGCTCTTTACTTTTATTTCTGGTCTACAGTCATTCAAAGCAGATACCCTGCAGAACCTGCGGGGTTTCCCTGTGTGGCTGTGCATTGTGGAGGTTCTTCACAAAGACCTTATACACTCAGTATAGATTTCCTTCCTCTCCAAGAGAAACAACACCTGTGCAGTGCAGAAACCTCCTCCAGGCTGAAATCCCACATGCATCTACATACAACTATCTACATTTGAACCATCTAGTATCTGATAAGACATTCCTGGTATTAAGCATTAGGTTTGCTTATCTGCATTTCATGTGGGGACTCAGGGTGAAAGGCAACTTGCAAGGTGGAAAACACCCAATGTTTCCACTGACATAATTTTACAAAATGTCACTATCACCTAGCAAGGCACCTGTTCATCCTGAAATATGCCTGTGCAGCACCATACTTGGGGCTGTTGCAAGCACACACTGGAGGACACAGCATCTTTTCTAGG